TTTGTCCAGGGCTCATAATTGTTATCACAGGAAAATTAATCTAATACAAAGTATTTTGCCATTTGTCTTTTAAAAATTTATTATTTTAGCCATGGCTGGTTTGCTCAGTGGTTAGAGTGTCAGCCTGTGGACCAATGAGTCGCAGGTTTAATTCCGGTTAAGGGCAAGGACCTCGGTTGCAGTTAATCACTGGCCCTGGTCTGGTCCTGTGGGAGGCAACCAGTCGATGTGGCTCTATCACATCGATGTTTCTCTCTGTCTGTCTCTGCTCTCCTTCCCTTCCACTCTGTCTGATGTGGCTCTATCACATGGATGTTTCTTGCTCTCCCTCTCCCCCACCCCCCACTCTATCTAGTGATAAGTGGAAAAATATCCTCAGGTGAGGAATAAAAATTTATTATTTCAGCCCTGTCTGGGTGGCTCAATTGATTGGAGCATCATCCTGTGCACCCAAAGGTTGTAGGTTTATTTAATTCCCAGTCAGGGCACATACCTAGGTTTCAGGTTCAACCCACAGTAGTGGCGGGTATGGGAGGCATCCAATCGATGTTTCTCTCTCACAATGATGTTTCTGTTTCTCTTTCCCTCTCTCCCTCCATCCCACCCCTCTTCCTCCTCTAAAAATCAATAAAAACAAATCCTCGGGTAAGGATTAAAAAAAAAATTATTATTTTAGAAAATTAACCATTTTAAAGTAAAAAAATCAGTAGCATTTAGTATATCCACAATCTGTGCAAATACCATCTCTAGTCCGAAAACATTTCTATCACTCTAAAATAAAACCTAGGTAAGTCAATCCAAATTTTTTTTTAGTTTTTTGACTTTATATTTGTAAGCCATTTCTATTACTGAAAATCTTAGCTTCTAATACCATTAACACCCTAATTTGCTTTATGCTGCAATATACATAAAATAGTTATAAATTACTAACAATGAAACTACATGAAGTTTCATATTTCTTTGTACTTTTGTTTTTAGAATATAACCCCCCGCCCCCAAAAGAATCTATCTCACCAGGAGGTAGAGTTAGATTATTTTGGTCAAGAGTTACTTAAAACAATTCTTTTCTCTGTGTTGTATGTTATCAATCTTATATACTATTCAGTTTATATATTATCATTTATTTTCAATTCTAGAATTTGCTTTTTCCTAGCTTCATAAAATTTGAAGTTTTCTTTCTTTAGATTCTAGAACCATTTAAGCAGCGTTGGTAATATCTATTTTTTTTGAAAGTGGCAGAATTTCTTGCAAAATCATCTGGTTTTACAGTTCTCTGAAGGGATAGCTTTTTGATAACTTCCTATAATTCCATAAAAACTGTCCTTAAATTTTCTAGCTCTATTAGGGCTCATTTGATAAATTGTATTTTTCTTCAAAATTACCCTTTTCTTTTAGGTTTTCAAGTGTTTGCATAGAAGTATATAAAATAGTTTTTAAATTGTCTTTTAAAAATTTCCTTGGTTTTAATAGCTATTTCCTTTTTGTCATTTCTCACATTGCCTCAATAATATAGTAAGAGCATTCCAACCACTACAACATAATTAAAAACACAAACAAAATAGTATTTTTTTTCCCAGATAGAGTGAGAGAAGTAGGAGAGAGAGGGAGGGAGGGAGGGAGGGAGAGAGGGAGAGAGGAGAGACAGAGAGACAGAGAGAGAGAGACAGAGAAACATTGATGTAAAAGAGACACATGGACTGGTTGCCTCCCACACAATCCTGACCAGGGCTGGGGACTGAACTGCAATCAAGGTACATGCCCTTGACTGGAATAAAACCTGAGATTCTTTGATCTGCAGGCAAACCCTCTAACCACTAAGCCAAACTGGCCAGGGCCAAAACATATTTATGAATTATTCTGAACAGGCCAGAGGAACCAAATAGTACTATAAAAGGTCAGTATGCTTGTGATTCAGCTTCCTTCAAAATTAAATGGGAATAATACTCCTGGATCCATTATGTAGAAATGCTTAAGATTAACCAATAATGTCAAAGAAGTTTATAAATATAAATAGTTATATAAAACCACACGTAGACTGAATCACCTATATGATAAGTAGGAAATTATGCCTGAAAAGTGGAATGGGGGCAACAATAATGACGGGATGTGGTGTACAGTCAATTTTCTATACACTATGTAGAGATAGTCTTTTTTGGGTCACTTGTGGAAACTTTCAAATTCCTGGGATGCATTTCTACTGACACTAAACATATATTCCTTGGTTTCCTTCTTCCTTTTTGCCTATTCTCACCAGTGAAAACACACATAGATGCACATATACTTTTGAGTTAGTATTGGCTCTAGGAATATATAAATACCTTGTAATGATTACCTTTTTGAAGGAACAAGAAAACTGAAATAAATTCCAAAGTAGAATATAAATTAAGCTTCCATTATTTACATTACTAGTTTTGCATTATTTACACTACTGTCATTCTAGTGGATAAGAACAATGAACTATGTACTTTACAAACATTACTGCATTTAAACCTTCCAACACCTCAGTGAAGTAAATGTTATTACCTTATTCTGAAGTGTAAACACTGAGGCTTAAAAGTAAGTCCCTACCTGTCTGCCTTTACCATCCATGGTTCAAATTCCTGCATTAACCATTCATGCTTTCCCCATTTTCTGGGAATTACACACTTTGCCCACAGATGTAGGCTATAGCCAGCAGTCATGATTCTGCTTTGTGACTCTGACCTCTGGCCACAGCTTACCAGATGAGGGTTGAATACCTGGTGCTAGCTGGTCCGATTTTTTCCTTAGAATTGGAATCGGGATGCAGAAATGGCTAATTAATCCTTGCATATGGCTGGAGTGATACACTTGGCAGCTGTGTGGTGGCTATTTTCTGCTTTAGGAATAGAGTACGAGAGTCCATAGAGATGAGGAAAAATGAAGTAGATCCAGGGAGAAATAAAGGGACACAAAAAAGGACACTTCAGTTCCTACTAGTTCCTCCCTGAAATTGGGCTTCCTTCCTTCCCTGGGCTGCTCTGAAACAACCCTGTATTTTATTATAAATTCCCCCTTCTTCCTTAAGTTGAGTTCAAGTTAGTTTCTGTTATAAGCAACCAAAAGAACCGTGACTAAAGTTCCCTTTCCTTATATGGGTATGTGACAGTTTTCAGTAGAAATTCTTGTGATAATTTTAGAGTTAGATCTTAAAACACTTTAGAGCTAGTAAAAGCTGCTGAGATGATGTTCTTTTCTCCCTTTACTTTGCAAATAGATAACCAAACTCAGAGGAAATGCCATTACAAAGGTCATTTACTTAGCTGGTGGTAAAGTGGGACCTGTTTTCCTTATTTAATGTTATTACTTATATGGCTAGAGATCAAATTGATAGCATTAACAATAATATACCATGAGACAAATATTAACATTTTTGAATGAGGCAGTAACCCATTCATACCCTGGTATAATTACCTACTCATACAGTCACACACCAGTTGGTCCCAGTTTTATTAAGAGGATTCCATTTCAGAGGTTAGTGCTATGAAATGTGGGAAACATTGTCTCAGAAACTAGTGGCATACATGGTGGTTACGGTTCCAGGTTGGCCCTTGTAAAACTTAATCTACAATACAACAACTGTGAGAGAAAACACCCTGCAATGTGTATTAAAAGCTGAAGTGCTAAGAAGTAGCTGGGTGATCAGACAAGTTACTTAATTCTCTAAGCTCAGCTACTTCTAAAATATATAATTTAGACTCATGGAATTTCTGGTTTGACAAGAACCTTAAGGGTTTATGTCTAATATCTAAGATATCTGTTATCATGAAAATTTCAAACATACTGAAAAACTAGTATAGTAACTACCCATATTTCCATCACCTAGATTCAATAATTTCTAACTTTTCCCCATATTTGCTTTACTTGTCTTAATTTTTTAACCACTTCAAAGTAACTTGAAAATATCATGATACTGTAATCGTTTAGCATGTAGCTCTGATAAGAGATGTTGATAAACTTTCTGTAAAAGGGTAGATAGTAAATGTTTTTGGCCATATGGTGTGTCTGATGCAAGTACTCCACCCTGTAGTTGTCCATGGAAACGTGCATAGCAATACATAAACAAATGGGCATTATTATGTTCCACTAATATAATTTCTGCCCTGCCAGTTTGGTTCAGCAGTTATAGCATTAGCCCTCGGTCCAAAGAGTCAAGGATTTGATTCCGGTCAAGGGCAGGTACCTCGGTTGTAGTCCAGTGCCCCGCCCTGGTCAAGTTTGTGTGGGAGGCAACCAAACGATGTGTCTCTCTCACATCAATGTCTGTCTGTCTGTCTGTCTCCCTCTATCTGAAGATAAAAGGAAAAAATATCCTTGGGTGAGGACTAAAAAAATAAATAAAATAAAATAAAATAAAATAAACCACTTAGTCTTCAAAAAAACAAAACTCCAATTTCCAAAACTGGCATTTGGTCTTCAGGCTATAGGCTACTTACTTATGCTACATAACAACACTGTTATTAGAACTAAGGCTAATAAAAATTCTTTAATATTATCTAACAATCTGTACATATTCAAATTTTTGCAGCAGTCCCCAAATGTTTGTGTTGTAGTTGTTTTTTTTAACCAGAACCCAATCAAGATTCACAACCTGCATCTAAGACTCCTTTTGAGGGCCTAATGATTTTATTCCTCTATGCCTCCCTGACAGCTAAATCCTTGGTGCCACAGTACCAAAGAATTGTGTAACTGGTAACTCTAAAAAGTGGGCTATATATTGGTATATTTAAATATTAAAACAACCTAAAAGAGGTTAAGAACCATTGTACTCTGTTGAAATTTATGCATCTGCATATATAATAGTAATATCTATTAACTATCTATATACAAATATTAATACCCGCTCTATATATTATCAATATACTATACAAAGTCAACTGTGTATCAATAGAAACATTGACTTAATTAAAAACCAATGAATTCATTAATAAACAAAACCAGAGTAAGCTTATTCAAAAGAGGAATCTGGTACTAGTACTTACCCAGAAACAAAACAATCAATAGGACTATAATAGTAAGAAAAGCCTTGTTCCAAAATGTTGCGATTTTACCCCAGACATTAAATGAAAAAATCTTCTGCCATCTGTAAAGCAATACAATTACATTAGGTATAAAAATAACAAAAGACTATTTTGAAGTATTTTTTGAATACCGAATTGACATTTTGGTAATTATGTAGTAAATGAAAAGAACTACAGAAATTTGATTGTTTATGTCACATCAGAGAATTATTAATTCATTAAGAACATCTCATAAAATAAAAAATTTCTTTCAAATTTAGTAATAACTTGACATTTGATTATTTTCTGCCTGATAGCTTAAATATTGTATAGTGAAAATAACTTAAAGGCAAGATACATGATTAAAATTTTAAAAAAGAATTCTTATAGTAAAATGTTATATTGCTGATAGACGTTGTCACTTTGTATCTTTTCCCTAATCAGGGTAATAACTCAGAAATAACAAATGTTGATCCAACAATTAGAAACATTTGAGGAGTAGGTGGTCCAACTATCTAAACTATTCATTTCTACATAGTACAATGTTAACATTTACTCCAAGTAAAAGACTTTCCCTACTTTTACCACAAATTTTAAAAATCATTGAGGTATTACATACACACAGCAAAGTGCAAAAAATCTTAAATATGTAGGTTGATGAATCTATACATACATATATATGTAAATACCCACGTAGTTACCATGATAAAGATTTGAACATAAATCTAGGATGGATAAATTAGCAGGTATAAACAAAGACACAGAGGTAAGAATGCACCCTAGCTGGTTTGGCTCAGCAGTTAAGAGTGTCCACTCGAGGATCCAAGGGTCAAAGGTTCCATTCCCAGCCAAGGGCACATACCTGGGTTGCAGGTTCGAATCCCAGCCCCAGTCGGGGTCATGTGGGAGGCAACCAATCGGTATGTCTCTCCTCTCCCTCCCTCCCTTCCACTCTATCTAAAAATCAAAATCAATGGAGAAATATCCTAGGGTAAGGATTAACAACAAAAAAGAATGCACAAATTGTAAATGGCAAAGAGTGACAAAGTAACTCACCACAGAAATGAAAAGTTAACAAACTTTGCAGGAGGGCATTTAAAAATGAATAGCACATTTACTGAGTCTAAAGATACACAAGTACATACATACATATAAAATAAGTGCTTAAATAAACTTCAAACACAACTTTTAAAAAGACTTACTTTAAGATTATGACAAGTTATTGATAAGTTTTGGAGACAACTCTAATAGCTTCAAGTTGGTGGAGAAAGATTGATAAAAGTTAAAGTGGTTTGCTTTATCTCTATGCTCCCAATTCCAAGGGCAATATTTAAATTTTACATAATAAAAACTTTATATTTTTAGAAAGAGAACATAAGTGACAATATCTTGATCAAAGTCCAAACGTAAATTCACATTTCAAGGACCAGTATAAAAGGAAACACAAAAGACCCCCAACAGGGAACAAATCAAAATTTATATTAACACTGAATTCAACAAAGAGTAGCCCTGGCCGGTTTGGCTCAGCAGTTAGAGTGTCGGCCCAAGGATCAAAGAGTTGTGGGTTCACTTCCGGTTGAGGGCATGTACCTCAGTTGTGATTTGTCCCTGGCACTGGTCGGGGTCATGCGGGAGGTGACCAATCAATCTTTCTCTCACATCAATGGATGTGTGTGTGTCTCCACCGCCCCCCCCCCCCACTCTGTCTGAAGATAAATGGAAAAATGTCCTTCAGTGAGGATTTAAAAAAAAAAGAAAATGGAAGAGTTAATAACAGCTACCATATATTGAGTCCTTACTATGCTATGGTTCTAAGCATTTTTACATGTTTTAGCTAATTTTTTTTTCTCCTCACCTCAGGATATTTTTCTATGTATTATCAGAGAGTGGGAGGGAAGGAGCGAGCGAGAGAGACAAAGAAAAACATCGATGTGATAGAGCCACATCGACTAGCTGCCTCCTGCACGACCCCACCAGGGCCAGGGACAAACCATAAGTGAGGTATATGCCCTTGACCAGAATCAAACCCGGGACTCACTGGTCCACAGGCAGACGCCCTAACCACTGAACCAAACCGGTCAGGGCTGTTTTACCTAATTTTTAACCACCACAACCACTATATGAGGACACCAGTATCCTTTATTTTACAAATGGGAAAACTGACTGGAGATGGTAAATAACTTGCCCAAGGTCACATAGTAACTTGCAGAGTTGGGATATAAACCCAGGCAGTCTGACCTCTAACCACTGGGTCATGTGAGAAAAGAATAGAGAGCCAAATTAAATAAAGACTGAAGTTTTTTCTTTGAAGATTATGGTGAGCCCTGGCTGGTGTGGCTCAGTTGGTTGGGCATCATCCTGGGCACCGAGGGGTTGCCAGTTTGATTCTGGGTCGGGTATATATAGGAGGCAGTTGATTATGTATTGCTCTCACATCAGTGTTTTTCTCTCTCTCTTCCCCCTTCCCTTTCTCTCTCTCTAAAAATCAATACAAAATTTAAAAAAAAAAAACATATGGTGACACACATATAAAAGATAAAGATGGAGATACACACAGTAAGGACATATTATAAATGATATGTGCACAGATATACCGTTTTCTCATGTATAAGAGGGTATATTTATATAATGTGTGTGTGTTGATAGATACACACATCTATCAAAAAGCTACTTGATCAGGATAGGACAAAAATTATATCTGCCTGAAAGAAAAAGATCCATAATTTATGGATCATTCTGATGGAGAAAAGATAAACTGACAAAAAAATTTTTTTTGCAAGTCCTTGCAAGTTTTAGCAAAACAAAAGCTAAACAGGGTATTGTGGAGGATTAGAAACCAAATTAAGGCGATGACAGGTAGGTAGGGTGATGGAGTACAAAGAGCAATAGACTTCTGAAGCTAGATTCTTGTCTGGAATCAGCTGCCATGGATCATCTAGATGAACTTAGACCACTTTCCCTATAGAATGAATGGGTTGGATACCATTATCTCAAAGGACTCTTCCTACAGTTTGATTATTTTATTTTCCTTAGTAAGGAAAAAAAGCAATGGTATCACTGACAGACAAAGACAGAAGTAGAAATCCAGGTAGGTAAGAAGCAAGTTAAGAGTTGTGAAAGACTACCTGAACCCTGAGCCAAGGTAAAAACTCTCATAAGTCTCTTCCAGTCAAAGGATCTTACTATATTCCAGTGGGTTACTCTCGGATTTCATTTATGCAATATTTCTTTTATGCCATGAGTATGAACAAGTGTGTTGTAACATTTTTTTTTTTTTTTCAGATAGAGTGGGAGGGAGAGAGAGAAAGAGAGAGAAACATCGGTGTGAAAGGGACACATCAAGTGGCTGCCACCCACACAACCCAACCAGGGCCGGAGACAAACTGCAACCAAGGTACATGCTCTTAGCAGGAACCAAACCAGGGTCTCTCTGGACTGTAGGCCAGTGCTCTAACCACTGAGAAAAACCGGCCAGGGCTGTTGTAACATTTTTATTACAAGTGTATTTCACTATTCACACTAGAAAATTTCTGAACGTCCAATAAGTGAACTATCGCAAGGCTAAAGTGAGCCAATGCTTCTCATTAAAATACTTAGTACTGAATGCCCTGGCCGGTTTTCCTCAGTGATTACAGTGTGGGTCCATGCACTGAAGGGTCTAGGTTTGATTCCCAGTCAGAGGGGGCTGTGCCGGGGTTGCAGGTTCCATCCCAGGCTTCTGTCAGCATTTGCGGGTTGTTAACTGTTTGGTATATCTCTCTCACATTGATCCCTCCACTCCCTCCCTCCCTTTCATTCTCTTTAAAAATCAATGGAAAAACGATCCTCAGGTGAGGATTAACCAAAATAATTCATAATCAGCACTTTTAACATTATCTATCAATTCTATGTACGAGGAAAAAAGTAGTAAAATTACCATTAAACACTAATAAAACTATTTTTTGGTTACATAGGCTAAAACTAAGAATAATTTACTGTCTTAAGTTTCTAAATTATCATTTCATTGCCCCTGGGGTAAAACATTTCTGCACCGGTGCTGTGCTGTAAACATCATTTACCGGTCTTTCACTTAGTTCACGGTTCCAATTCAGGGCAATAAAATGAAGGTAAAACCTGATGACAAGACAGTTGTTAAAGTATAACCTTTATTCTATCTGTAATCAACAAAGACAAAATGTGTTGTCCTTTTCCTTTTAGAGAGGAAGTGGGAAAGTTAATTCATGTGTACATTTAACAGTTTTTTTTTTTCATCCTCACCCAAGGACACTTTTGCATTCATCCTCAGATAGAGCAGGAGGGAGAGAAGGAGGAAGAAAGAAACATCTACGTGAGAGAGACACATCCAGTGGTTGCCACCCACAGGACCCCAACCGGGGCTGGGGACAAACTGCAACCGAGGTAGGTGCCCTTAGCAGAAACTGAACCCAGGACTCTCTGGTCCGCGGGCCAACGCTCTACTCTAACTGCAGGGCCAAACTGGCCAGGGCTTAACAAAGTTTTATATAGTGATATTTTAATATTGCCATTATGTATTACATAATTTGTTAGCGAGTTTATTTTGAACTCTTTTTATATTACCAGCACTCAAAACTTTTACATCTCAAGAACTTTTCCGTATCACACTAAACAGCCTAAAAGAGCTACTCATGTATTTATAATTGTAACAATTTATTTATTATTGTAACAATTTGGAGTTTCCCTACCTCTGAGGAGGAATAAAAGGTAGACAGAAGATTAAAATGAGTCCTATTTCAGCATAAAGAAAGGTTGCAACTGCCGTCCACTGGAGTGTCATTTTTTTCTCTTCACACCTAAACGGAAAATCACTTGTTTTACAATGCTGCCTTTCAAAGAAAACTGGGTTCAAGGCCTTGGGGCGCCAAGTTTCCGTCCAGAGGGTGGACGGCGTCGACCCTCCCCTAGCTGGGGGTGGCCGGCGCTGACCCCAGGCACGAAGAGACGCAAAGGGACGCGAAGGGGTTAAGGGTGGGCCGAGAGGCCGGCGTCTCCACCTCCTGGGGAAGCCGCGAGCAGCGTGCGAGACTCTCTGGACCGGCTTTTCCGCCCCCTTCGCGGCGGCGACTGCCTGACGTCAGCCTCCTCCACCGCCCGCTCAGCTAACGCGCCGCGGGCCCTGGGTCGACGGGTCGGAGGCGGAGCCAGGTCCCCGAGGCCAACTGCCCAGAGCGCCGCGACCCTGTGGCCCCGCGCGGCCCGACGCCCCACGCCGCCTGGAGGACGTGGCCGCCCGCGTTCTCCCCCGGCCTTACCCCGCCCGCGGCCGGCTGGCTCTCCGCGCTGCTCGGTGGCCGCCGGTGCGCGAGACGTCAGACGCCACGCGGGGGAGGGGAGAGTCGTGCCCCACCCACAGCCGCCGCGCCGCTCGCTCCCCCAGCTCCCTGCCCCGGTCCGGGTTGCCGGTGCTCGCGGGGACGCCGGCGGCGCCAGTGCGACGAATAGCAGTAATATTTTCTAATTGGTGATGGAAGTTGAGGATGATTCAGACTTTTTGACCGATGCTTGAGGCTCCTAAGTGCAACTTCTTCGGAAGAGCCGACTTTAATTGTCTAATCGACGTTTTCCGATTGAGCTTCGTGGGGTCAAGGGGGAAGGGATGGCGCCGGGGGGGGGGGGGGGGGGGAGTATTCAATAGAGGGGTGCAAATTCTGTGAACGTGTTTGAGGCGCGCTCCTTTTCTATTTTGGCTGTTTTATGGTAGAACCGGTTTCACTGTCCAGAAGTAAACTACAGTTAAATAGAAGGGTCAGGATTGGGTAGTTCTGCAGCATTTTGTTCTTAGACTAGAATAGTAGGGTCAAAACATACTGTGTTTTTCCGCCTTGTCCCTGGGCTGGGAAGAAACAATCACCTTTTTAGGTTGATGTTTGGGGACTAATAGGAAAGGAAAACAATGTAGGTATAGGTATTTTCTTTCCGTTACTATTTTCCAGGTTTTCAAGTTGTGTGAGTACACTCAAATTATTAAATATATATTTTTCAAAATTGACACGACAGGAATGTAAATGAAGGTATCTTACTGGAAACAATTATTTTGAGAATGGTAAACAAATGATAAAAATGACGTATTATAGAATATAAAAACATGTAAATCAATGATTTTTCTTGACACAAATATACTAGATCACATATTAAAGAAAAAGCCAACATGAATTAACCATATGAAGTTTTTTGTTTGTTGTTTTTTAAATCAATCGCATTTAGAACTCCTTGCCCTTACATACTGGTCCCCCTGAAAGGCTGCACACCTTCATCTGTTGTCACAACACTGTATAATTCACCTCAGAGGTCATTTACAAAGATGACGAGGTTTGGCTGGTGGCTCCCTGTTTGAGAAAGTCAGTTATCTTTAAAAATACAATAACTGAAAAATGAAAGAAGAATGTGCCTGAGGAAAAAACATGGCAACAGTGCTTATGTTAAAATTGATTCATTTAATATTCCCAGACTCTTGAATTAAGCAGTTTTATTAAATTGTACTTGTATTTTAAAATGTATTTAATTTTAAATTTTCAATTAGTTAATATACAATATTATATTAGTTTCAGGTGTATACCCCAGTGATTAGATATTATATAACTTACTAAATGATCATCCAGATAAATCTCCAACCCATCTGACACTGTATATAGTTATTAGAATATTACTGGCTATATTCCCTATGCTGTACAACACGAGTCCAGTTGAATTTTAGAGGACATTTATTAAAGCTGGGGACAATGAAACAAGGTTTGGGGAAATGAGCCTAGCTGGTCTGCTTTGACTCACTAAGAAATCCAAGAAAAGAGGGTCTGGGATCACATTCAGTGGCTTTCCCTGGGATGAACTGCCACTGACTATTGCTGCCCTGGTTGCAAGCCTCATGAGGGTCTCTTAGAATTTAGGGGATGCGTGCCTGGGGAAAGTGCAGGGGGAGGCAGAGGTGTGTGGCAAGAAATATTCGAAGTGATGAAAAGCAAGGACCTACTACCAAGATTCCTCTATCCTGCAAAGATGTCATTTTGAATAGATGGACATAGCTTCCAGACAAAAGCTAAAGGAGTTCATCATCACCAAACCAGTGTTATATGAAACGTTGAAGGGTCTTCTTGAAGATCCAAAATATGAACAATAAAATTGTAATAAATACCTATCTGTCAATAATTGAAATCTACAAACCAAATGAACAAGCAGTATAGAAACAGACTCAGATATAAACTTTTTGATTGTTGCCCAATGGGAGGGGAGGTTAGGGGGTGAGTGGAATGGGGGAAAAAGGTGAAGGGATTAAGAAGGACTAATTGGGCCCAGCTGGTGTGGCTCAGTGATTGAGGGTGGCCCCATGCACCAAGAGGTCGCCAGTTTGATTCCTAATCAGGACAAATGCCCAGGTTGTGGGCCAAATCCCCAGTGGGGGGCATGCAGGAGGTGGCCAATCAATGTTCTCTCTCATCGATGTTTCTATCTCTCTCTCCCTTACTTCTCTCTCTAAAAACCAATAAAGGAAAAGAAAATTAAAAACTAAAAATCAATAAAGAAAAAAAGAAAAGAACTTACATGGATATATGTATAACCAATGGACACAGGCAATAATGCAGGGAAGGCAGGACGGGGTGGGAGCCAGGAAGAGGGGGTCAATAGGGGAGAAAGGAAGGATATTAATACTTTCAATAACAAAGATAAATAAAATATAAAACCTGGTTACTATTCTTCAGAAAATAGTATTTCAAATATATAATCATCTTCAAATTAGCTACAAATTTTTTTATACTTAAAATGTGGGAAAGTGAAATTAATCTTATTATTTTAGGTAGTCATATTTATCAACTCGCAATCTTCTAAAGATCTAGAAAAATAATTTTCAATCTTTTGCAGCTCACGGCACACATAAATTACTAAAATTCTGCAGCACACCAAAAATATATTTTTTGCTTATCTGACCAAAAAAAGGTATAATTTTGATTCATTCACACTAGATTGCTTTTGTTGTGTTGGCTGTTGTCATTTTTTTTTTGTATGTGCTCCTAGCAGGAACCAAACCCGGGACTCTCTGGTCCGCAGGCCAACGGTCCAACCACTGAGCCAAATCAGCCAGGGTTGTTGTCATTTTTTAATTTAACAATCTAAGGGAAATGGTCAGTGCCCCTGACTAAATAGTTAGGTATTACAAGTTTAAAAACTTCTTTTGGCAAATCGCTGATCTAGGTGGCTTGAAATGTAACAAATTTAATGTAATTTAAAGAGTTTCATGGAAACTTTTAAATTATAGAAAACACATCTAATTAAATTCAGCTATATGCTATTTAAAACAAATACCTTGAGGTGTGTAATTCATGAATTAGGAAGTACCAGTTTGATTTTCCAATTTGAACTTTTAATCTAAGTCCTGAATGCCATTCTATACAGAATGTCTCATTCCTTTTCATTTTACAGAGGCTGGCATTTGTTCTTTCACTTCTCCGTACTTTTTTTTCATTAAAAACATACTTCACATTAATTTACAGGTGGTATATGGCTCATACTTTTAGTATTAAAATAGTTTTATTTATTTAAAAATGTTAAAAACACAATTCCTTTAAAGTATATATTAAAACAACTTAGGAAGTCCAGTCAAATCCCATAATGTTCTGTAAGGTAATCTAAGACTGCTGATGTGCTTGACAAAGCGTTAAATACTCTTTTTTCTTGCCTTGATGTTATCTTTTCCATCATGTACATTAAGTGCTGATGGAAACACACATAAGGAGTTCCAAGTTGAAGAGCAAGTTCAACCCAATCACAGATGCATTTCAGAGGGGTTTCCTCATATCCAGCAAACATGGCCGGGTTTGCTAAGAGTCCTCTTGCAACCATCACACCTACAAATGAAAGCATATCATATTTGTCCACACATTAAGAACTCATTAGTTACAAGGCACACTCAAACAGAGAATGTTAAAAAAAAAAAAATTATTACAAGGTTTCACAAAGCCCTTATATTAGACTGTTTAATTCAATGACAATACAATTTATTTTTATAGTTCTTTTTTATAAACCCAGAAAGCTTAAAGGTAGTTATAGGTATTCTTTATTTTATTATGACTTCTACATAAAACAGTTAATTTTTAGGCTTTCTGTTAAGGGTAAATACAAACTGTCATAAATTGGGCTTGCTTTAAGTTTATCTGCATTCCTCTACCTAGTAATAGGTATCATAAGGCTTCGTATGCCAGTCATCTAAGGGGATAATGAAAACGCATAGCAGTCTGGGGTTCTTTTGGTTCCTATGACAACTCTTGTGTTCTCTCAATTCTAGTGTAGGTGTTCAATTTTACTAATAGGCTATCTCAAAGACTATTAACTAGTCTTTCACTGCATATAATGGTAGCTGAATTTACTCAACTAAAATAATCTTTTGTTAAGTAGAAAAGTTAGCATCATTTTAATAAATTGCTTAGCTTAAACCAGTACAAATGAAAAAATATAGTTCCAAAATATAGAAAAATGAAAACAACATTATTCTTCCACTCCCCCACTTTTTTTTTTGTGAAAGACAAAAATTCAAGTACTTATTTCTTACCATCTGTCCCAGTAATATGCCACACATTTTCTGCTTCTTTTAAGCTTCTGATGTCTCCATTAGCAATAACAGGTATAGACATATTTTCCTTAATTATTTTAATGGCTTCATAGTGAACTGGCTGATGTCTTTCTTCAACAGTTCTTCCATGGACTGTAATCCAGGAAACTCCTGCTGCTTCAGCCTTTCGACAAAGATCTACAGTTCTTGTAAGGTCATCATGGACTCTATAATTTTAAAATTATATCCATCTTTTTACAGCACACGAATCAAAGCTAAAATTAATAAACTACTATATATTTCATGTAAAACAGTTTTGTTATATCATATTATTGCTACATGCCACTATCAGGTTTTTTTTTTTTTTTTTTGCAAAGGGATCAGTTCCAATTTAATATTTCAGATGTAGTTATTTCACTATTGGCAATATTGGGATGACAAGTTTTATCTTACCTAGTATTCCTTCCCTTTCGCTTTCGTAACTGAAAAAGTTATCTAAATACTGTCATACATGAATTGAAAGATGCTATCCTAATACTTTCTGTGCGTGCCCATTCCCCAAGTGGGAGAATATACTACCTCATCTTGAAATACGTTTTTAACCTGTCACCAAAAAACTGATTCCTGGTTTATTTTCTTTTCATTGTGAAATTTCAGTGCAAATACCATTCCTATTTTCTACTCTTGGTACCAGGAATTTATCTTAGCATTAAACAGTACATAAAAAAAGTTAAGGGTTTCTTTCGGGGGGAAAGTTTTATTGTAAATCTTTTTTTTTTTTTAATCCTCATCTGAGGACACTTTTGCATCCATCTTCATATAGAGAGAGAGGGAGTAAGGGAGGAATAGAGAGAGAACCATCGACGTGAGAGAGACACATCGACTGGCTGCTACCCACATGACCCCAACCGGGGCCGGGGACAAAATGCAACCAAAGTACATGCCCTTAGTGGAAACCAAACCCGGGTCTCTCTGGACCGTGGGCTGGCGCTCTAACCGCTGAGCCAAACCGGCCGGGGCCAGGGGAAAGTTTTTAAGTATGTTTTCTTTTATTGATTTCAGAGAGCGAGAGGGAGAGACAGAAAGACTGATGAAAGAAAAACATCAATTAGCTGCCTTCTGCATGCCCCCCACAAGGGACTGAGCCGGCAACCTGAGGATGTGCCCTGACTAGGAATGGAACCGGCAATCTCCTGGTACATGGGTCCCTCAACCAAATGAGCCACACCAGCCAGACTTGGGGGAATGTTTTTAATAATAAAGCTTTAAAGTGATGTTTTAATTTCTGTTAAATAATACAAAGAGGAAGTTGCTCTGGATTATAAATAAAATTATGGTATATATCTATTTAGTAAATATCTTGTTTCAACATTTCCATACACCAGCTACAAATTAAGGACAGATTCCCCTGCAGCCCCAGAAGGAAGGATATTCTTTTATTTTCTAAGAACAGAACTGTTGGTAGATTAAAATATCGTCTTTACCTTATTTTAATAGATACTGAAAATCTGGGATTTTCCACTTGATTTCTTACTTGTTTCACCATATCTTGAATAAGCTCTGGCTTGTTTATTAAGCAAGCTCCATAACCATCTGCCATTGCCCACCTTTATAAAGCAAATACAACAACAAATAAACTATAAACAGTTGAAAAAGAAGATACATTTCTAAAGGTCCTATAGGTGCACCTATCTATTTCTCTAACTAGCAACCTGGAATGGAATCAGATTTTTATAATTCATAGATCCAACATTTCTAAGTGGATCAATTTAAGATTAGGAAAACAGGTTCCCAGATCAAAAAGTACTCAGGGGAAATGGTTTCCACTGGCAAGTGAGAAAATTATGTTAACATTCATTCAACCAAAACAGATTTAAGTACTTGTAATTAATTTCAATTATTGTAGATTTTTAAAATTCCAAACTTGATGTTTATTGCACATAACAAGAGGTTTTATTAGTCTTAATAGTAGAGAGATAAGTTTGACTTTAGTATCCAACAGCACTAAACAGCTTATTTAACTCTCCTAATGAGTATACAAATATGTCTAATCTGATTTGGATTATGCTGTATTTTAAAACCTTGATTTTATTATTTGGATACATTTTGAATTATTGTCAGATAATATCGTACAGTGTCAAAAACAGGTATATATTTAAAATTTTTTTCCCTTTATTGATTTTAAAGAGAGGAAGTGAGAGGGAGAGAGAGATAGAAACATTGATGAGAGAGAACATCTACTGGCTACCTCCTGCATGCCCCTCACTGGGGATTAGGCGCACAACCTGGGCATGTGTTCTGACTGGGAATCGAACCAGCAATCTCTTAAAGCATGGGTCAACGCTTAACCACTGAGCCACACTGGCTGAACTTTATAGGGATATTATTGACAAATTAAGTACAACCTATCAAATGTGCAGTTATTTATTTATTTATGTATTTATTTATTTACATTTATCTTCAGATAAAGTGGGAGGGAGAGAGGGAGGAAGAAAGAGAGAGAAACATGAGAAACATCTGTGTGAGAGAGACCTATCTAGTGGTTGCCACCCACACGACCCCAACCAAGGCCTGGAACAAACCACAACCGAGGTACGTGCCCTTAGCGGGAACTGAACCTGGGACTCTCCAGTCCATGGGTCAATGCTCTAACCACTGGGCAACACTGGCCAGGGCCAATGCACAGTTATTTAGAATGAACCAAATTAACTGTGGTATAGAAAAAAAGGTAATTATAAGAAGATATTCTTATAAAGAAAATTAATTCGGAGAAAATAATTGGTGAGCTCCCAAATCATAGTTTCTAGAGCAAGTGTGTATGACACGGCAGTGAAAATATATTTTAGAAGTTGCTATAAACATTAGTGTCTCACATAACTACTTATGGATGAGGTTCAAGGCAGATCCACATATTAAAAAAAATTCTAGTGGTGAGGTAAGATAAAATACCTGTCAAGGGTCTATACATTGTTTTAGCCATCAGAAAATAGCTTTGCACATATGTTCCTAAATAATCTTTCCTTATTTTTTCTTCTTATTTAGAGACCAAGTGCTTTAACTCTATTTTCATTACTTTTTAATTCTTGGAAAACTAGAAAGATAGTTTACCATGTTCACATAGTTTTTTTCTAATCTTTTAAAAAATTCTTCCAACTTCTTGGAGCTTTACCTCTGAGGGCAACCACAGTTAATGTCTATTCCATTCGCATAAGGACAAACAATACGAGCAGCATCTGATAAAAGTCTTGCATCATTAGCAGCAAACTGAACAATCAATGGGCAATCACCTGATAAAATGAACAGCTCAACATTAATATTCAAAGACATACACATATGCACACATGATACCAAACTCATATGTTTGTACAATATAACTATACATGAGATATCAAACTCTAATGTTTGTACAATATAGAATAACTATTTTTAGCCTATCTGTTCAAATAAGATAGCATTAAAGTAATTAAAAATTTTTTAAATAAAAAGCAACTTACATTTCATACAAATTCAATAGTATAAAGTTTGATAAAATGAAAAGTCCAATGCTATTGACAAACAGACCCCTTTAAAATGGTGAGAATTAGCCCTGGCCAGTTTGGCTCAGCGGTTAGAGCATCGGCCTGTGGTCCTGAGAGACCCGGGTTCGGTTCCCGCTAAGGGCATGTACCTCGGTTGCAGTTTGTCCCCGGCCCTGGTCGGTTGTGCGGGTGGCAGCCACTCGATGTGTCCCTTTCACATCGATGTTTCTCTCTCTCTCTGTTCCTCTCTCTCCCTCCCACTCTACCTGAACAAAAAATGGAAAAATGTCCTCGGGTGTGGTTTAAAAAAAAAAAAAAAAAAAAAAAAAAAATAAAATGGTGAGAATTAGTTATTGTATCCAGAACAATTTTATGTGTACCTATAAAACTTAAACTAATGGGAACATTCTATGTACATTGCTATGCATACTGCTTCTTTTTTAACCTAATGTATCTGGGAGCTGTACTCAGAGTTATTTTCTTCTTTTTAGAGTCATATTTCACTGTATACAGATAGACCATACAGTGTACTTCTAGATTGTTTTTCATTTGTGGCTCTTGCAAACAATGTGATGAGAATAATCTTACATACATACTTCTGTGAGTATATTCATAGGATAAATTCCTAAGTGTGCAACTGTTGGATAAACATTTAATATTTGATAGCTATTACAAATGTTTATTTGAAAAGAACTTACCAACATAGGAACATACCAATATGGATTAAAGTTCTTGTTTTCTCACAACTTATCCTATGTTGTATATCCAATAGTGTGTTTTTCTTTCTAGGCTCTCCATATTCTTTGTATATTTTTCCTATGCACAATTTTTCTTTTAGGTATTCCTTTCTGTATTATTGTTATTTATTTATTTATTTTATTATTTTTTTATCCTCACCTGAGGACATTTTTCCATTTTTTGTTCAGATAGAGCGGGAGAGAGAAGAAGAGAGAGAGAGAGAGAGAGAGAAACATCGACGTGAAGGGACACATCGAGTGGCTGCCACCCGCACAACCAACCAGGGCCGGGGACAAACCGCAAACGAGGTACGTGCCCTTAGCGGGAACCGAACCCGGGTCTCTCTGGACCACAGGCCGATGCTCCAACCGCTGAGCCAAACCGGCCAGGGCTATATTATTGTTTTTTTAATACAACAATGAAATTTGCTCTATCATAAATATAAAAAATATTATAAATATTTCCCCAGTTATAGTTTGTCTTGAGTATAGTTGTGCTCTTTTCTTATATATAAAAGTTTACATTTTAATATAGCCAAATGTTATTTGAACTTTTCTAGGTTTTAAAAGACAATTTTTTTTTCATCTTTGGGTTAGTGTTATAAACTCTGGATAGATGTATTATAATTTTTCTTAAGATTTTTTTAGGACTACCTTTATGAGATTTACTGGGTGTTTGCCAAAAATACAGATTTCTGGATATCACCTTAGTTCCATCGATTTACAGTATCATCATGAGATCAGAAAATTTGCTTTTTCCTGAGGATGTAGGGTGCTTTCCCCTTTGTAACTTAAGAGAGTTATAGAATTCAGTTTAACGTTCATTTATGGGTCTAATATATTTTCAACACTGTGCTAGAAGCTGAGATACAAATCAGTTAGAAATGGTTCCAGGTCTCAGGGACCCCATAGCCTAGTAGGCGAGAAAAATACTTAAAGAGGAAATTATAAAACAGTAGAATTAAGTAAACACATAAAGCCTGTGCTTCAACAAAATAACATGAGTGGAGGGTGATTAGGAAAATACCTTGGCCACAAAATTCGAGTGCTATATTAAGAAGCATAAACTGTTGTTTGCCAGAGAAATAGGGATATAGGGACTAGATATCAATGAAAAGCATATTTTAGGTAGAGAAGTGTGAGAGAATAGAGCATGTTCAGGGCTTTAAAATAACTTAGTATTTATGAGTAATAAAGTCAGTGGGTTATGGAGAAAAACTAGTGGAAGATAAAGCTGCAGATATATTCAGAAGCTGGATCATGAAGAATATCACATATTATTCATAGGTGCTGGAATTTTATTCTTTAGGTCAGTGGTTCTCAATCTTTCACAAGCTTAGAGTCATCTGGAGAGTTTTTAAAAACAGATAGCTGGACCACATAGTCAGTTTCTGATTCAGTACACCTGGAGTAGAGGCTGGAAATTTTCAGTTGTAATAAGTTTTCAGATGCTGCTGATGCTGATCTGGGGAATCCCACTTTGAGAATCACTGCTTTAGGCAATGAGAGGTCAAAGAAATGTGATTGATTTATATTTTAGAAAGGTCACTTTGGGCTGTCTGAAGGATAGTTTGAAATGGGACAAGACTGGGGGCAGTGAAATAGGGATCTAATGTAATAGTCCAGGGAAGAGAATGAGGGCTCTAAGGAAGGCTAACTTTATACTTTGTATACCTTCCAGTTTGAAGACACTCAGTAAAAACATATTTAAAAAAGTTAAAACTTAAAAAAACTAAAAGATTTAAAAATTTTTTTTCTTTTTATTGATTTTTAAAGAGAGGAATGGGGAGAGAGAGAGAGAGAGAAACATTGATGAGAGAGAACATCGATTGGCCACCTCCTGCATGCCCCACACTGAGGATTTGGACCACAGTCTGGGCATGTGCCCTGATTGAGAAACGAACCAGCGACCTCTTGGTGTATAGGTTGATGCTCAACCACTGAGCCACACCAGCTGGGCAAAAAACTAAAAGATTTTTTAAATTAATTAATTAATTAAAATCCTCACCCGAGGATAATTTTCTATTTATCTTCAGACAGAGTGGGAGGGGGAGAGAGGGAGAAAAAGGGAGAGAGAAACATCGATGTGAGAGGGACACACTGACTGGTTGCCTCCCGCATGACCCTGACCAAGGCTGGGGATATACTGCAACTGAGGTATGTGCTCTTGGCCAGAGTCGAACCTGCAACTCATTGGTCTGCAGGCCGACACTCTACCACTGAGCCAAACTGGCTAGGACAAAAAACTAAAAGATTTTAAAATAAAATCTCTGAATTGTGTTTTGTCTGATTAGACAAGATAATTGTTTTGTTTTGTTTTTCTTCTTCTTTCTTTTTAAGTTTTACCGAGTCAGCCAAACCTGAGTTTCACATACCTTTGTTTGTGGTAAATTCACTGTCTCTGGCTTTTACAGATCTGACAAAATCAGCAGCAACTATCATTGGTGTATAGCACAGATCACAACTGTATTTTCTTACTAGTGTTCTAAAAGCCAACCTGTAAACGGATAAAATTTTAATTAGGCATTTAGAAATTACCACAATCATATGTAACTTCCGAGTTTAATTTATTTATTAAATAACTAATAATTAATTATAATTAATTATTAAAAAATAGAGGAAAGTTCCATCTATGGGAAGATGGATGAGACGTACTTTCCCCTGTATTTCCTGCTTACTATAACTGAAAACCCTGAATATTATATGTAAAAAAACATAAGAAAACTCTGAAAGGTGGAGAAAAGAGAACAGACAAGCTAGTGACCTCAGGACCTAAGGAATGTCAACAGTGAGTTCCCCGGGTTTTCTTTTCACCTCAAATATCCCAGACTTGGAGCCAAAGAAGCTGGCAATCTGGAAATACAAACCTGTGCAAACAGAACAGCCTCAATAAAAGTCTGCTCTCCCTAACCAAATAGCCAGGAAAGGGACAGCCTAGCAAGACAGAAAACTTTAAATAATAGCAGCTCTACTTCCACCAAACATCAAGAAATAACTGTGGTCCCACTTCCACAAAGATTGAGCGGGGAGCCTAGATTTCTACCTTTCCAAGCAAGGCTGTAACAAGGTTCTCCAACATCCCTCCAAAGTAGTGTCAGAAAAGGCCATGTAGATAACTGAGACTTTAATCCTTGCTAGCAAGTAATAAGGTGCCCCTCAGCAGTATCAGTGGCGATCTTGTGGGGAGCCTGGACTTCCACAACTACCCAGCAGTAGTGAGGTACTCTTTCCTCCCCACCGGGAGTAGTATCAGACCATGCTTAGTGAAGAGTGAGGACTTTCATCATTGCCCAGTAGTTGCCAGGCCACTCAATCCATGTGGAGCTGGAACTCTCACCCTTGCTCAGCAGTAATGCGGGGCCCCCTGCCCTCAGAGTGTCAAATGAGATCAAGTGGAGAACCTGGACTTTGACCTCCACCTGAAGGTGGTGGTGGATCATCTTTCCCCTGCTGTAATGGTGTTAGAAAAAGAAGAGTAGTTAAAACTAAAGGTTTAATACCGAGAATCAATGTAATCCACCATATTAATAGGCTAAAGGGAAAAAAAATCATATGATTATATCAATAAAAGGTGAGAAAGCATTTCACAAAATAATATTCATTCATGAAAAAAAAGAACTCTCAGAAAATAGGAATAGAGGGAATCTTTCTTAACCTGATACATAGCACCCACAAAAAGTCCTTCAGCTAACATTACACTAACAGATAAAAGATAGATTACTTTCCCCCTAGATTAAGAACAAGGCAAAGATGTCTGCTTTCATCATTCTTATTCAACATGGTGTTGGAACCTCTAGTCAGTGTAATAAGGCATGAACAAAAAAGCATATGATGGAAAGGAAGAAAGAAAAACTGTCCCTGTTTGCAGATGACATGATTGTTTACATAGATAATACCAAGGAATTTACCATAAAATCCTCTAGAACCAAAAAGTGAGTTCAATATGCAGGGGACAAGATTAACATACAAAAATCAATTTTTTATCTATACAGACAATTCACACATGGACACTAAAATTAAAAGTATAATGCTATTTACAATCATTCAAAAAAAAAAGAGAAATAATTGGGTGTAAGTCTAACAAGACACATACAAAACTTACATGCTGAAAACTACACAATACTGATGAAAAAATCAAGTGAGATCTAAATAAATCTTGACATACTGTGTTCATGAGTTGGGTGACTCAGCATAGTAAGGAACTCAACTCTCTCCAAGTTGATATGAATATTTAATATAATTCTTATGAAAATTCAGCAAGATATTTTGTATATACAGACAAGATCATCATAACATTTACTTAGAACAGCGAATGAACAAGAATAGCTAAAACAGTCTTGAAAGAGAAAAATAAAGTGGAAGGAAGACTCATTTCAAAATTTATTACATAGCTAGCTATAGTAATCAAGACTTTGGTACTGGTGGAGGAATAGACACACATATTAATAGAACAGAATAAAAACTTCAGATAAAGAGCCATACAAACACGCCCAACTAATCTCTGACAAAAATGCAAAAGTTATTCAATAGTAACAAAATAGCTTTTTCAATAAATGGTGAAGTAATTAGACAGCCATAGACAAAAATTAAATAAACCTTAACCTAAGCCTCACACTTTACAATATAATTGTAAAATTGATTGTAGACGTAAAGGTAAAACATAAAGGTATAAGACATTTAGAGAAAAATAGGAGAAAAATCTTTAGAATCTAGAGCTACACAAAGATTTCTTACACTTGACACCAAAAGCACAATTTTCCAAAAAAAACCAACAAATTAATAAATTAGACTTAATCATTAAATAAAAATCTTTTGCTCTGCAAGACAGTTCAGCCCTGGTTGGTTTGGCTCATCAGTTAGAGAATTGGCCAGCAGACCAATGAGTTGCAGGTTCAATTCTGGTCAAGGGCACATACCTCAGATGTGGCTCGTCTTCTGTCCTGGTCAGGGTCATGTGGAAGGAACCTCTTACACCGACGTTTCTCTCTCTCCCTCCCTCTCTCTTTCTTTCTTTCTACCCCCGACCCCACAATCTAAAGATAAATGGAAAAATGTCCTCGGGTGAGGATTGAAAAAAAAAGTTCATTAAGAAGATAAGCTAAGCTACTACAGGGAGAAAATATTTACAAACCACAAATCTGACAAGAGTAAAACTCTCAAAACTCAATAGTAAACAAAAAGTCAACAACAAAAGAACATATCAACAATAACAACAAATCAGCCTACCTGATTCAAAAATGGGCAAAGGACTTGAGGAGACATTTCTCCAGAGAAGATATACAAATGGCCAAAAGCACATGAAAAGATGCTCAACATTGCTAGTGAAATACAAATCAAAACCACAGTGAGATACCGTTCATATCCATATAATAAAAAACAAACAGAAGTCCTGGTTGGTGTGGCTCAGTTGGTTGGGCATCTTCCTGTGTACCAGCAGGCTGTGGGTTTGATTCCTGGTTAAGGGCACTTGCTCACATTTTGGGCTGATCCCCGGAAGGGGACATTCAGGAGGCAGCCAATAGATGTTGCATTCTCACATTGATGTCTCTGTCTCTCTCCAAAAATCAATAAACTATTCTAAAAACCAAAACAAACGAAAACAAACAAAAACAAGTATAGGTGAGGCTGTTTAGAAATCAGAATTCTTGTGCCCTTCAGAAAAACAGTATGGAATTTCCTCCAAAAACTAAAAATATAATTGCCATAAGATCCAACAATTACACTTCAGGGTACATACCTAAAAGAATTGAAAACAGGGTCTCAAAGAGATATTTATAGACCCATGTTCATGGCAGCATTATTCACAATAGCCAAAAGATGGAAGCAACCCAAGTTCTCATCAATAAACAAACAAAATGTGATATATACATATAATATCATTCAGCTGTAAAAAGGAAATTCTGATACAAGCTACAACATGGATGAATCTTGAGGATATTATGCTAAGTGAAATAAACTAGTCTCAAAAAGATAAATATGGTATGATACCACTTATACAAAGTACATAGATTAGTCAGATTCATAAAGGGAGACAGAATGGTGGTTGCCAGAAACTGGGGGCAACAGAGAATAGGATTTATTTTTTAACTGGTATAGAGTTTGTTTTATAAGATGAAAAGAGATTGGATGTAGAAAAATCTGAATTTACTTAACAGTACTGAAGTGTACACTTAAAAATGTATAAAATAGTAAATTTTAAGTTGATTGTATTTGACCACAATTAAAAAAATTTAAAAACCAACTCAAAATCAGCAAATAATCCAATTAGAATATTAGCGAAAGACAAGCATTTCTTCAACAATATACAGATGGCAAATAAACACATGAAAAGATGTTCAATGTCATTAGCCATATAGGAAATGGAACCATAATGAGATATCACTGCAAACCTATGAGAATGGCTAAAATAAAAAAGTGACATTATGAAAAGCTTGTGAGGAGGAGAAACCAGATTCCTCATATATTGTTAGTGGGAGCATAAAACAGAACAGCCACTCTGGAAAAGTTTGGCAGATTCTTAATACACGACGTAAAACTACCATATGACCCAAATATTACAGTCCCGGGGGTTTGTCCTAGATAAATGAAGACTTATGTTCACAAAAACACCAGTGCACAAATGCTTAATATACATTATTTTTTTTTTTTTTAGTTAATTAATATATTTTTGTTACAAATGTTTCTCCTTTTCCCCCACTGGTTCTCCCCCCCACCCTCCCTGCCCTGTCCCCAGCTTTGTTGTCCATTGTTCATGCATACATGCATATAAGTTCTGTGGTTTATCTCTCCCCCACCACCCCCTCTTCTGGGGATTGTCAGTCTGTACCCAACTTCCAAGTCTCTGGGAGTACCCCATTCCTCAGACTGTTATGTTCATTATATTCCACAAATAACTGAGATCATATGATACTTGTCTTTCTCTGTTGGCTTGTTTCGCTTAGGATAATACTTTCCAGGTCTCTCCATGTAGTCTCAAAGGATAAGAGATCTTTCTTTCTTACAGCTCATAGTACTCCATTAGGTATATGTACCACAGCTTTTTTATCCATTCTACTGATGGGACACTTGGGCTGTTTCCAGATCTTAGCTATTGTAAATAGTGCTGCTACAAACATAGGGGTACATATATTCTTTCTGATTGGTGTTTCAGGCTTCTTAGGGTATATTCCTAGAAGCAGGATCACTGGGTCAAATGGCAGTGCAATTTTTAATTTTTTGAGGCAACACCATATTGTTTTCCAGAGTGGCTGCACTAGTCTGCATTCCCACCAGCAGTGTACTAGAGTCCCCTTTTCTCCACACCCTCGCCAACACTTGTTGTTTGATGATTTGTTGATGGTGGCCATTCTGACAGGTGTGAGGTGATACCTCATTGTGGTTTTAATTTGTATCTCTCTGATGATTAGTGATGTTGAGCATTTCTTCATTATGTCTCTTAGCCATTTGTATGTCCTGTTTGGAGAGGTGTCTGTTTAGTTCCTCTGCCCATTTTTTAATTGGGTTCTTTGTCTTCCTGTTGTTGAGTTGTATGAGCACTGTATATATATTGGAAACTAACCCTTATCTGATATATCATTGGCAATTATGCTCTCCCATACAGTGGGTAGCCCTTCCATTTTGATGATTGTATCTTTCACTGCGCAGAAGCTTTTGAGTTTGATGTAGTGCCATGTGTCCATTTTCTCCTTTGTTTCTGTTGCCTTAGGTGATGTGTCAGTGAAAATTCTGCTGCGTATGATGTCCGAAATTTTGTTGCCTACAGTTTCTTCTAGGATTTTTATGGATTCATGAGTCACATTTAAGTCCTTTATCCATGTTGAGTTTATTCTTGTGTGGTGTGTAAGTTGATGGTCTAGTTTCATTTTTCTGCATGTAGCTGTCCAATTTTCCCAACACCATTTATTAAGGCGGCTGTCCTTACTTCATTGTATGCTCTTGCCACCTTTGTCAAATATTAACTGAGCATATTGCCTTGGGTCTATTTCTGGGTTCTCTCTTCTGTTCCATTGGTCTATATGCCTGTTCTTGTGCCAGTACCAGGCTGTTTTGATTACAGTGGCTTTGTAGTATAACCTGAAATCTGGTAATGTGATCCCTTCAACTTTCTTCTTTTTCAAGATTGCTGTGGCTATTTGAGGTCTTTTCTGATGTCATATGAACTTTTGAAGTATTTGTTCTAATTCTATGAAGTATGCCGTCGGTATTTTGATGGGGATTGCATCGAATCTATAGATTTGATTGGGTAGTATGGACATTTTATTTTATTATTATTTTTTTTATCCTCACCCGAGGACATTTTTTTCATTTTTTTGTTCAGGTAGAGTGGGAGGGAGAGAGAGGAAGAGAGAGAGAGAGAGAGAGAGAGAAACATCGATGTGAAAGGGACACATCGAGTGGCTGCCACCTGCACGACCAACCAGGGCCGGGGACAAACTGCAACCGAGGTACATGCCCTTAGCGGGAACCGAACCCGGGTCTCTCCGGACCGCAGGCCAACGCTTTAACTGTTGAGCCAAACCAGCCAGGGCTGCTATCGCTTTCTTGATGTTAATTTTGTATCCTGCTCCTTTTCCAAATTCATTTGTTAAGTCTAGTAAAATTTGACGGTGTCTTTGGGGTTTTCTATGTATAGTATCATGGCATCTGCGAATGATGACAGTTTCACTTCCTCCTTTCCAATTTGGATTCCTTTTATTTTTTCTTCATGTCTGATTGCTGTGGCTAAAACTTCCAGTACAATGTTAAATAAGAGTGGCGAAAGTGGGCATCCTTGCTTTGTTTCTGTTCTTAAGGGAAATACTTTTAGTTTTTGCCCATTGAATATGATGTTGGCTATAGGTCTTTCATATATGGCCTTTATTATGTCAAGATATGATTCCTCTATTCCCACATTGCTGAGCATTTTTATCAGAAATGGATGCTGGATTATGTCGAAGGCTTTTTCGGCATCTATTGATATGATCATGTGGTTTCTAGTCTTCATTTTATTTATGTGGTGTATCACGTTTATTGATTTGCAAATATTGTACCAGCCTTGCATCCCTGGGATGAATCCCACTTGGTCATGGTGAATAATTTTTTTGGTGTATTGCTGCATCCGATTTGCTAGTATTTTGTTCAGGATTTTGGCATCTATGTTCATTGGGGATATTGGCCTATAGTTTTCTTTCTTTGTAGTGTCTTTTTCTGGTTTTGGAATAGAATTATGCTGGCTTCATAAAATGAGTTTGGAAGTCTTCCTTCTTCTTGAATTTTGTGAAATAGTTTGAGGAGAATGGGTGTTAGTTCTTCTTTGAATGTTTGGTTAAATTCCCCCAAGAAGCCATCCGGGCCTGGACTTTTGTTTGCTAGGAGAGTCTTGATTACATCTTCAATTTCTTCTGTTTTTATTGGTCTGTTCAATTTTTCTATCTTCCTGGTCCAGTTTTGGGAGCCTGTATGTTTCTCGAAATTTGTCCATTTCCCTTAGATTGTCGAATTTGTTGACATATAATTGTTCACAGTAGTTGTTAATCCATTATATCTTTATAGGTGGGGGTTATAAGCACTACCATTTCTATAGATATAAAAATTGAAGCTTAAAGAGGTTAATTGTTTACTCAGGGCCACCCACATACTAGGCAAGTGGTAATACCGGGACTCAAGCCTTGATCATGATCTGAAAGCTAAGTGAAGATCCCACATGGTGAGGTGGTCTTACTTTTATTTTTACTAAAGAAAAGTTTAGTTTTTCTTTATTGATTTTAGTGAGAGAGGAAGGAAGAGGGAGAGAGAGGTAGAAACATCAATGAGAGAACATTGACCGGCTGCCCCTGGCATGCCCCCCACTGGGGACCGGGCCAAAAACCTGGGCTTATGCCCTTACTGGGAATTGAACCGTGACCTCTTGGTGTATGGGTTTACGCTCAACCACTGAGTCACACCAGCCAGTATGTTTTACTTTTAAAAATTCAGAGCATAGCCCAGCCGGAGTGGCTTAGTGGTTGAGGTTCGACACGTGCACCAAGGGATCACTGGTTTTAACTGAGTTTTTAGTGAGAGAGCTAGAAACATAAATGTGAGAGATACATCAATTGGCTGCCTCCTGCATGCCTCCTACTAGGGATCAGGTCCACAACTGGGCATGTGCCCTGACCAGGAATTGAACCAGGACCTCGCAGTCCATGGGATGTTGCTCATTCCAGTGAGCCACACCTGCCAGGCATTAATCTCTATTTTTAATACTAGTAGGGCCCGGCTGGTGTGGTTCAGTGGTTGAACGCCGACCTATGCACCAAGAGGCTGCTGGTTAGACTCCCCGGTCAGGGCACGTTCCCAGTTGTGGACCAGATCCCCAGTGTGGGGCATGCAGGAGGTGGCCAATCCATGTTCTCTCTCATCAACGTTTCTCTCTCTCTCTCTCCCTTCCTCTCTAAAATCAATAAAGAAAAAAAAACCAACAGCATAAAAAGAAATGATCATTTAAAAATACTTACTTTGAATATCGAACCATTGGGGCAGAGACTTTTACCAGCTGCCCAGAATGAAACATTTCTATTGGATCTTTTTTTCTTTCTTGACATACTGTGGTTTGAATGCAGTCATTTTTCATGAACACAGATTTGTTTCAAATCTGAAAAAACAATGAGTTTACATAGAGAAGAGTTATTTTCATTAGATGAATTCCTATCATTCTAATACTTTCAATTGCCAAGAACATACGTTTTTTATCAGGCTCAGGGGCTCAGAAATCTTTTTAGCTTCTTTTCAAATAGGACACTACAAAATTCTGCTTTTGATAGTTTTAGTACACTGGGAAATTATAATGGTTATGTTTTGTACAGATTATGCTTGTTCATGTCAAACATTAACTGTTTCAAATTCTATACTTAACTCATTATAGTAACATTTTCTGCTCATATTAATAAATGATCAAGATAGCCCTGGCCAGTCTGGCTCAGCAGTTAAAGTGTCGGACCATGGACCAAAGGGTTGCGGATCCGATCCCCAGTTGAGGGCATGTACCTGGTTTGCAGGTTCAACATCTGGCCCTGACTGGGGTCGTACAGGAGGCAACCAATTGATGTGTCTCTGTCACAATGATGTTTCTTTTTCTCCCTCTCCCTCCCTCTCTTTAAAAATCAATAAAAATATATTTAAAAAAATAAAATCAAGCTACTGAAAATTAGTAGAGTATTTTTCATAGTATAGCATGTTACAATTGTTCATGTTATTTTTTTCTTTTTAAATGTATCTTTATTGTTGAATGTATTACAGGTGTCCCTCATTTTTTCCCCCCTTAACCCCCTCCTCCCCACTCCCACCCCCATCCAACCTTCCCCACAGTACTGTATGTGTCTATTGGTTATGCATATAAGTTCTTTGGTTTCTGTCTTCCTGCTCCACCTCCCCTCTTCCCTTTGATGTTTGTCAGACTAACAACCAATTTGTACTTCTTAATCCCTTCATCTTTTTTACCCATTTCCCCAATCCCCCTCCCATCTGTCAACCAAGAAAAAGTTCTCTGTATCTGTGAGCCTGTTTCTGTTATGCTTGCTCATTTTGTTTGTAGATTCAATTGTTGCTAAATATGTATTAATTAATCGCCATTTTATTGTTCATATTTTTGTTCTTCTTTAAGAAGATCCTTTAAAAATCTTATATAATACTGGTTTGGTAGTGATGAATTCCTTTAGCTTTTTCTTGTCTAGGAAACTCTTAATATGTCAACCAATTCTAAATGATAGCTTTGCAGGACAGAGTAATCTTGGTTGTAGGTCCTTGGTTTTCTTTTCTTTTTTTTTGGCATCAGTATATTTCCTTGCCATTGCTCATCTATTTTTCAACCACACTAGATAAATTGTAACCTTATTAAATACATGGTGACAAGTTAACTAATAAAGCTCAAGACACAGGGACAAATTAACACTCTTAGGCTAAATGGGGTTCATAAGCAATGAGTATTAGAATTTTTGAGTTGTGATGAAACCACTGACATGTATAAACCTTTACATTGCATTATTAATCATATTACATGATACTTTTAGAAGCCATTCATACTTTCTATCATAAGTAGAATAAAATATGTGAAAAGTTTCCCTTTTAAGTGCAAAATTTAAATTTTGATAGCCAAATAATTTACTTAGAAAAATGCAAAATACACATTTCAGGATTAGTCCTGCAAGATGTAATTAAAGGTAGATACCATTTAAATATTAAAAGTTTTATTTGGTTTTCAGGTTCTTATTTTCTTTTGTTGTTGTTGTTGGAAAGCTTTTCTTTTTTTTTTTTTATTAATTTTTGTTACAGATCTTTTTCCCCCACTGATTCCCCCCTCCCCCTCCCTCCCTGCCCTTTCCCCAGTTTGTTGTCCATGTCCACTGTTCATGCATACATGCATATAAGTTCTGTGGTTTATCTCTCCCCCAGTACTCCCTCTTCTGGAGATTGTCAGTCTGTACCTCCCTCCGCGTCTCTGGGACTACCCCATTCCTCAGACTGTTATGTTCATTATATTCCACAAATAACTGAGATCATATAAAACTTGTCTTTCTCTGTTTGGCTTGTTTCACTTAGGATGATACTTTCCAGGTCCCTCCATGTAGTCTCAAAGGATAAGAGATCTTTCCTTCTTACAGCTGCATAGTACTCCATTGTGTATATGTACCACAGCCTTTTTATCCATTCGTCTACTGATGGACACTTGAGCTGTTTCCAGATCTTAGCGATTGTAAATAGTGCTGCTACAAACATGGGGGTACATATTTCTTTCTGATTGGTGTTTTAGGCTTCTTAGGGTATATTCCTAGAAGTGGGATTACTGGGTCAAATGGAAGTTCAATTTTTAATTTTTTTGAGGTAACACCATATTGTTTTCTAGAGTGGCTGCACCAGTCTGCATGCCCACCAGCAGTGCACTAGAGTCCCCTTTTCTCCACACCCTCGCCAACACTTGTTGTTTGATGATTTGTTGATGGTGGCCATAGGTCCTTGGTTTTCATCGCTTTAAACATTTCTTGCCACTCTCTTCTGGCTTGCAAAATTTCTTTTGAGAAATCAGCTGACAGTCTTACGGGAGCTCCATTGTAGGTAACTAACTGCTTTTCTCTTACTGTTTTTAAGATTTTCTCTTTTTCTTTAACCTTTTGCATTTTGATGATGATGTTATTCGTGTGGACCTCTTTGGGTTCATCTTGTTTGGGACTCTATGCTTTCTGGACTTGTATGTCTGTTTCCTTCAACAAGTTCGGGAAGTTTTCTGTCACTATTTTTTCAAATAGGCTTTCAATTTCTTGCCCTCTCTCTTCTCCTTCTGGCACTCCCATGACGTGAATGTTGGTACACTTGAAATTGTCCCACCGGCTCCGTGTACTATTCTCATATATTTTATATGCTTTTTTCTTTTTGCTGTTCTGATTGGGTGTCTTTGCTTCCTTATATTCCCACTTGATGGTTTGCTTCTTGGCTTGAGCTACTCTATTATTGATTCCCCATTAATAATTCTTTATTTCAGTTTGTGCACCCTTTATTTCTGACTGGTCCTTTTTCATGCTCTTGAGGTCCTCATTGAGTTCCTTGACATTCTCACAAAGTTCCTTGAAATTCTAAGTTCACTGAGCATCCTTATAAGCAGTGCTTTGGACTTCACATCTGTTAGATTGCTTATCCCATTTCATTTAGTTCTCCTGGAGTTGTGTTCTGTTCTTTTATTTGGGACATGTTTATGTATCATGTAGTGTTGCTATGTCTCCTAACCTATTATATTAGGTGTCCTGTAGGGTCCAGTGGCACCCCAGCTGGGTCCTGAAGGTGCACCCCTTGTGTGGACTTTACACAGCTGTGTTGTAATTGAGTCTTGATTGCTGTTGGCACATCAATGGGAGGGATTTACTCAGGCTGATCAGTTACAAGAACTGGCTGTGCCCACTGACCACCAACCTCTGACTACCTTTGATGATCAGCTGTGCAGGGGCACACCACACTGAGGAAGACTTACTTCAGCAGAGCTCTGGTACCCACTGGTCCATTCCTTGAGTGTGTCACTTGTGGAGGTGGTTGGGTGGTGGTGCTTCGACATGGTCTGAAGCTGTCTACTGGGTGTGCTGGCTCTTGGGCAACTAATTGCCTATGTTCTACCTGGGGCCACCAGGCATATGGTATAAAGTGATTTGGTGATGGCTGCTTCTTTGCTGGGCTTGAAGGTGTCCAGGCAAAGCCAATCTGTGAACCAAGGTTGGCTGCTTCTAGTGCCAGGCTTGGGACCACTTAGTGAGAGGTATGGGGCTCATTGAGGCCAGACACTGCTTGTTTGAGAAATCTGAAGCAGGAGCCCAAACAGGTGAATCCTATGATAAAGCCACTGGAAACAGCTTGGGTGGGGCAGGGCCTCAGGGACTCACCAGTTGGGGTAAACAGTGTAAGCCAGGTTGCTGGAGTCCTAGATATGGCACCTATCTGCGGGTACCGTGGGGGCGTGCTCACCAAAGGAATAATGGCCTCCAATAGCAGGTCTGTCTGGGAGAAAGCTGCCTCTCCAACTCTCACCCCGATGCCAAACAACTCAGTTCTTCCCCATGTCTCTGGTTCCTTTCAAGCTACCTCCCCAATGTTGGAGCCCAGAAGGAGCAAGTTGAGTAAGTCCCTGTGCGGGCCGTTTAAGAGGAACTGCCTAGAGCTCCAGGAGCCTCAGCCTCCCTCAGACTCAGTTCCCAATGGTTTTTACAGCCAGAAGTTATGGGACTTCTCTTCCTGGCACTGGAACCTGAGCTGCGGGCCTGGTGTAGGACAGGGACCCCTTGCTCCTCAGAAAGGACTTTCCCAGCTGAGGTATTCCTCCATATTTTTATCCACTACACATGGTTGTGGGGCCAGCCTATCCACGCTTCTACCCCACCTACCAGTTTCAGTGTGGCTTCTTTAATTTCATCGTTGTAGGACTTCCATTCAGCTTGATTTCAGATGGTTCTGAAGGATGTTTGTTCTATAGTTAGTTGTAATGTTGGTGTGGTTGTTTTTCATGTTATTTATTTTAATTTTTGGCAGTGATAAACCAGAAAATTTGATTGGAATCATTTCATTTATCATTGGTGTATGAATGGCACTTTGAAAGTTTTATCCAGGAAAGTTAAATGGCATTAATTGAACGACTTTAAGTAGTAGTTAGCATTTCAAAAGATAAATTGGTATGTTTAATATTTATTCTTAGTCTCAAATCCTATTCTTTTACCTAAATCAGAAGGCAAAAAACCAACCAACCAACTAACCAACCAACAAAACCCACCAATCTTTATTAACGATTTAAATGTCGTATTATCTAATGAAAATTTCAATTATAAATATATTGCATAGTAAATCACTTTTATAAAGTGATTAAAGAGGTACAAGTGATTAAATTAGATAATCCATAGTATTTTATTGTTGCTATACTTAAATTCTATAATTTCATACTGTTAGCTGCTTTCCATATTTCAGTTTTTGGCCTTAGTAACTTAGAAACAGATATGGGCTAACTTTATAAAGGTTGACTTGTTCAACATGCAATTTTTATTTGGCTAATCCTGAAAGTAGTGATATAACCTAAATATAAACCAATTATTTCTATTTCCTTAAGCAGAATGTTCAGGTGGAATACTAAAAACTTGCTTTACTAATCACTGTTCAATTAGCCTGACTTTATTAGCATCTTATCTTTTATCTTTTTTATAATAAAAATTAATTAGAACGATATAAGCCACATATATAAAGTATAAGCAACAAAACAGTTCTTTTCATAAATCAAACCTGTTCCTTTTCTCCTGCATTTCATATGCTGGTTATGCCATCACTATCTACCCCTACTCACTCAAGTCAGAAACCTAGGGTTCCCTATACTTCTTCATCTCCTGCAAGTGTACCATCTCAAACAAGTGGTACCTTTAATGAAAACTTCAACACATCTTCATTGCCCCACAGTCTCTGTACATACTCATTATCCCCCATCCTGATAGCCTTTTTGGAGTCCCAGATAGAGTTGATCTTATTTACCTGTTATACCCATTTCTCTGTTATGTTATCATGTTCATTTGCAATTACTTTTCTAAAATACAGTAACACATATCTATCTCTTAATGTGTTTTTGAGGGTGTGGACATGTATTATTCATTCAGCAAATAATAATTTCTTGCTACATGTTAGAAATACAGATGAAAATATATTTCCTATGTCCTTAAAAACATATTAGACATACACAAAACAACAGCTCCAACACACACACAATTTAACTATTGTGTAAATAACTGTCTAGTGAAGTGAAGGGAGTAAACAATAGAGGAAGGAAAGCTTCAGCTGACACTACACAGGAGGTGGTGGAGTGTCCAGCTACAGAAAAGAACATGTATAAAACCAGATGCTTGAAAGTGCTTGATGATTTCAGTGAACCATTAGTAATTTAGTGTTGCTTGAGTTCTAACTGAACTAAAGAGGGAAAGGACCTAGACAATAATGGGCCTTATATACTAGGTTAAGACTTTTTTAGAATTTATAATGCAGGGCAGTGATTTTCAACTTCTTCATCTCATGACACTTAAACTAATTACTAAAATTCTGTGACACATCAAAAATCCTATTTTTTGCAAATCTGACAAAAAATAGGTACATTTTTTTTTCTTTGATTTTAGAGAGAGGAAAGGAGAGGGGGAGAGAGAAACATGGATGAGAGAGAAACATCAATCAGCTGGCTCCTGCATGCCCCCTATTAGAGATCGAGCCCACAACCTGGTCATGTGCCCAGACCAGAAATCAAACTGGAGACCTCCTTCCAGGTGCATGGAACCACACTCAACCAAATGAGCCACATTGGCCAGGTAGGTATAATTTTTTAAGTTGACTTTTATGACTTAAAATAATTTTTTAAAACTTTATTGATTTTTAGAGAGAGAGGAAAGGAGAGAAACATTAATTTGTTGTTCCACTTTTTTATGCATTCATTGGTTGATTCTTGTATGTGCCCTGACTGGGGACTGAACCCATAACCTTGGCATATTGGGATGACATTATAACCAACTGAGCTACTGGGTCAGGGCAGGTACAATTTTGATACATTCACACCAGACAGCTATTGTTGTAATGGCTGCTGGCGTTTTTTGTTTTTTAAAAAAATAATTCTTCCTTATTGATTTTAGAGAGAAAGGAAGGGAGAGGGAGACAGAGACATCGATGAGAGAGAACACTGATTACTGGCCTCCCACATAGCCTCCAATGGGGAATTGGGCCCACAACCTGGGCATGTGCCCTGACTGGGAATCAAACTGGCAACCTCTTGGTGCATGGGTCGACGCTCAACCACTGAGCCACACCAGCCGGCCTGTTGTCATATTTTTATTTGACTATCGAAGGGAATAGAGGTCAGTGCACCCAAAAAAAGTCAGGTAGTGCATGTTTTTAAAATTCTCAAAGCATAGTTCTGGCCAGTGTAGCTCAGTTGGTTGGAGAGTCGTCCCCTATACTGAAAGTTTGTGAGTTAAAAAAAAAAAGAATATATATCCTCAGGTGAGGATTAACAACAAAGAATCAGGATGCCCAAACCATATCCCCGACCAATTAAATGTGAATCTTCGGGCTTAGGATGATGGCATCAGCAATTTTTAAAGCTCTCCAGGTGATTTCAACGTGCAACCAAGTGTGGGAAAAAAATAAATCCATACACTCCAAAGCACCTGGTACAATTGCATATTTAGATGGGTCTTTACCTCACCTATTACCTCTTTTGGGATAAGATATATATTGAGTCTTAAATTTATAAACTGATGCTGGTATGTATAGCAGTGGCTGAAAACTTAATTGAATGAATAAATATTATGCAACTTTTAAAAAATCTTCCAGTGTAAAAGCCAAGCAAAGAAAAACAAATTTCATATTTTAAAGATAATGCCTATTAACATTCAAGAATTATTTAAATTGTGTATTGCAGATAATGAAACCTGAGTCTGAGCACGCTGCCCTTGACAATTCATGTGACCTCCATTCAGAACCATCAAGTCTATTCACACCAAAATGGAGATCAGATAAATTATATTATGAAAAACCTGAGACAGCCCTGGCCACTTTGGCTCAGAGGTTAGAGTGTGGGCCCCTGGACCAGTGAGTCCCGGTTTCGTTCTCGTCAAGGGCATGTACCTTGGTTTCTGTTTGTCCGGCTGTGGTCAGGGTCCTGCAGGAGACAACCAATCTATGTGTGTCTCCCTCCCTGCCACTCTATCTGAATATAAATAGAAAAGTATCCTCGGTGAGGATTAAAAAAAAAAAAATTAATAAAAAAACAAAACAAAAAAACCTGAGACAAACAGAAAGCATGCCCTGGTAGGTGAGGCTCAATTGGTTGAGCGTCAGTCCAGGCACTGAGAGGTCGCTCTCTGGTTGATTCCAGGTCAGGGCACATGCCCCGGTAGCTGTTCAATCCCGGTGTGCACAAGGTAGCCAATCTAGGTTTTTTCCCCCCTCATTGATGTTTCTCTCTCCCTTTCCAAAATCAATTAAAACGTTATTTTAAACATAGAGAAAGAAAACATAATGCACTGTATCATGAGACTTGCTCACTTGAGCTGTTACACATATTAAATGCATTTAGATTTATAAAGTACTTCGAAAAGTGTTTAGCACAGGGTAACTACTATTACGGCACCTTCTTTTTTTTTTATCCTCACCGGAGGATATTTTTCCATTTTTTGTACAGATAGAGTGGGAGGGAGAGAGAGGAAGGGAGAGAGAGAGAGAAACATCGATGTGAAGGGACACATCGAGTGGCTGCCACCCGCACGACCAACCAGGGCCGGGGACAAACTGCAACCGAAGTACGTGCCCTTAGCGGGAACCGAACCCGGGTCTCTCCGGACCGCAGGCCGACGCTCTAACCGCTGAGCCAAACTGGCCAGGGCTACGGCACCTTCTTGACATACTCTTCGCAGAATCAAGAGAACCACGTAGCTCTGAATTGAGGGGAAAAATGTTCCCTGTCTGTACATAAGGGAAACGTTGTAATACAGTTTCTTTTTATGAAGAAATGCTTACATTCCTTGTTACATACGTGATTGATCTATTAATTTATCAACATTTATCTTGGGAGAAATCTAGATAAACGAACAACGCAGATATAGCAGCGAAGACGACGACAACTAACTTGTTTTACAGCTTCAGTACTTACTTGAGTTATGGAAAATCCATGTTTGTAATATGAAAAAGTTTAGCATCACTTACAGCACGTGGCTGAGGCTGAGAGGATGTAGAAAAACAGGTCCTGATCTCATGGGAGGGAGGACAAGACTGAGTCCACCTGTTCTTTCCTGGTTCAGTCTTCCTTCTTCACCGACTGTCGGCTCTCCATAATTTTCACTATTCACCCCCGACTTTCTTCCCTAAGCTTTTCCTGCCTGCCTTTACCCCAGGACCGAGAATCAAGGCGTGGGACAGAGAAAGCTGGGTCACTAACTCCCCGCAGCTGTGCCTATGGAACGCAAGCCTAGTTCCCACAAACCTGCCTCCAGGAGGCCCTTGATCTTAGGTTAATTACCTGCTCTATCTTTTTTTATCCTCACCGGAGGATATTACCTGCTCTAGCGTTAAGCCCTGCGGCCACGATCCGGCACTCACCTTCTCTTCCGCCCGGGAAACGACACCAGCCCCAACGGTACAACGAGAGACGGCGCTTTCCGCGGGAGGGGCGGCTGCGGCTGAGGCTGCGGCTGAGGCTTCCCGGCTGCGCTGGGCCCTGGGCTCCCAGCTAGGACCCGCCCAGCAGCGGCCTATTAAGCCAATTCACCCCGCAGGCCCGGAGCCGTGGGCGGGGCGGAGCGGGTGGCGCCGGGATTTTGCGTCACCACTTGAGCAGGGCAGGCCCACCGCTGACGTCATTAACACGCTACCCGACAACATGGAAGGTGACGACGGCGGCGTCGCTGTGGCTGGCCATGGGGCTCTGAGCTCTCGAGCTGCTGCAGCGACAGTACGGGAGCTTCTGCAGGACGGTAAGAAGTTGGGATGGGTCGGGTCGTGGGGCTAGAGGGCTGTCCTGCTCCGCACTTGGGCCCAGGTGGTGGACTCAACCCGTCGTTTTGCAGAAAGTTTTCCGGTCTCGACGTGACCACTCCCCTCCGCCCGACCCCCTGGCGTCTGGGTGCTGGCCTCCTCTACCGGTTTCTTGGGACAACTGATTTCTGGTTGCTTCTCATTTCATCTGTACTCTCCACGCGCCTGGGGCTTCCCTGAAGCCCTGGGACCCCGCAGCCGGTGACTCACGTTGGCAGTCACCGGCTGCTGCTGCAGTTCTTGAGGAAAGGATGAAGCTTTCGATCCCATGAAAAGTGTAAGACCTAGAATAGATAACAGACCCAACATAAAGGAGGGCTTTATTTTTAGTTTTTGTTTTTTTTGTACTTGCCCCTAGTGGGAACCGAACCTGGGACTCTCTGGTCCGCAACCTGAGGCTCCAACCGCTGAGCCAAACCGGCCAAGGCAGAGGGCCTTATTTTTAAATACAGTTGGGAACATCCCCTCTGTTAAATTCTTGAACTGCACAGATGGCACCTCTTGCAGGTTCGTTTGTTTCTTTAAAGGCGTTTATCCACAACCACACGTGGGAGAGGATTTGGAGCATTTGTTCAGGCTGGGATTAACCACGTGTGTTGAATATAGGAGTTAGGTTTATTGACAGTTTTGGACAGAAATTGCTAGATATTAGGAGTAAGCTAAACATAGTACATTTGAAAAGCATATTAACTTGTATTACTCCAGTTAATAGGCCCAAATATCTTATTCTTAAGAATAAAGTTAAAATATCTAAGACCCTGCTTATCTGTTCCTAATTTTCTTCCCAAATTGTCACGTTCTACCTTGCATTAAAATAACTTGATAATTTAATCTTTTTCTATTGCATTGTAAGACCCCTTTAAAATTTTTTTTTTTTATCCTCACCTGAGGACATTTTTGCATTTATCTTCAGATAGAGCAGGAGAGAGAGAGCGAGAAACATCAATGTGAGAGGGACACATTGACTGGTTGCCACCCACGTGACCCCAACCGCCCCGGTCAAACTGCAATCCAGGTAAGTGCTCTTTGCAGGAACTGTTCCTGGGACTCTCTGGTCCATGGGCCCATGCTCTAAGCACTGAGCCAAACTGGACAGGGCTAAAAACTCCTTTTTATATTCCACAGTGTTAATAACATCATTTTGCATAGAGGGAGGGAGGGAGGGAGGGAGGAAGGAAGGGAGGGAGGGAGACTCAATTGGTTGAGCATCGTCCTGTGCATTGAAAGGTTGCTGGTTTGAATCCCTAGTTGGGGTGCATGCCAGAGAAAACGATCCAGGTTTCTCTCTCATGTCAGTGTTTCTCTCCCTCTGCCTTCCTCTCTGTCTACAAATCAATAAAAATATATTTTTTAAAAAACAGTGGTATATTTACACAATGGAGTACTTACTCAGCCATAAAAAACAGGAAAATCTTACCTTTTGTGATGGCATGGATGGACCTGGAGAATATTATGCTAGGTGAAATAAGCCAGTCAGGGAAAGACAAATACCATATGATTTCACTTACATGTGAAATCTAATGACCAAAATAAACTGACAAACAAAATAGAAACAATAATAGATACATAGAACAGACTGATAACTGTCATAGGGGAGGAGGTTGGGGGCGGGGGGGGGGGGGTGCTGAGTGACAAAGGTGAAGAGATTAAGAAGAAAAAAAAATACCACATAGACAAACACAACAATTATGATAGTTGCCGGAGGGACAAGGTGGTGAGAGGTGGAAGAGGACAAAGGGGATAAATGGTGGCAGTAAGAGACTTGACTTTGGGTGGTGAGTGCACAATACAGTATGCAGCTAATATATAGAATTGTACATTTGAAACCTATATGATTTTATTGACCAGTGTCATCCCAATAGATTGAATACAATTTTTTTTTAATGGACACTTAAAAAAAAAAATCCTCACCAGAGAACATGCTTAGAGAAAAAGAGAGAGGGGGAGAAACATTGACTTGTGAGAGAAACATGGGTTGTTTGTCTTCCATATGTGTCCTGACCAGGGATTGAAGCTGCAACCCAGGTACGTGTCCTGGCTGGGAATGAAACTGGCAACTTTTTGGTCCTCAACCAACTGAGCCACTTTGGCTGGGCTATGTTTGATTTTTGTAAGATCTTTTATACTGTACTGATCACTTTCTTTAAGCTGTTCTTTTGTTTTTTTGCTATTCTCTCCTGTTTCTCTTTCTTTCTCTTAGAGTACTCCTTAGTCTCTGATTGTTTTCATTTTCTCTACCTCCAAATTTTTGGTTTCCTTGGCTTCTGAACTCTTATCTTCCTTCATTTTCCTCTCTTTGTACATTCTAAAATTTTTTCCTAAGCCATCTGATATTTTTTCATGGTTTCAAAATTAATATCTATGCACACAAATACACACATGTATGGTCCTTATCTTCTAAGCCATAGAACTACTGTCTACTGGACATTTCTGTCTTGATAGTGAACAAGCACTAGTAGTTCTACATATAAAAACCTACACATGAATAAATATTACAAGTTCGACATATGAAAAAGTGAAATGGATTTTTAAAAACTCTTTCACCTAACCTTTTGCTCTGGTACTTTCTGTTACCAATAATTACATGTGGTTAGTTCGAAGTGTGCTTGTTTCCCATGTAGATTATGAATTTCTTGGACGCAGGAGTATGTTCATGTTCATCTTTATGTAAAGAGGCCTAGTGGTCTGGCTTAATGCACAGCTGAATTCCTTATATCAGTTACTTAATCAAGGAACTTAGGAATCATCGTTCTTGCTCTACCTAATCACCCATTTTCAGATTGACTCTAAGTCCTACACATTATAGTACCTGAATATTTGTCAAGTTTGTCATTTCCTTGATATATGCCACTGTTTTAGGCTTTCATCATACAACTTGGGCTGTTAACATAGCACCTTACTGGTTTCTGTCTCTGTTCCATGGGTTTGCTGGTAAATCAACTTTCTGGGAAAATAGGAAAAGCCCTGATTTTGTAGGGTATGCCAATTTCTGTGGTGTAAATCTTTTCACTGTAGTCAATTTTTATATACTTACATATGATGTCAACTGGCTCACACAATTCCTCAAAATTTAACAGCCCTCAGGAGCCACTGTGAGCCAGCTGCAAAACACCACTGTGTGACTGATCCCTTCTCACTCGTCCTCCATACTGCTGATAGAAACTGTTCTTAAAGCTGATAGTGCTCTTTCTTGGCTTTAAAACCTTAAATGGGATATAGTCTGAACATTTGGATGTTTTACTAGCCTCTTTTTAAACTACCCCCACCCCAGCCTACTTTTAGGAACCACAGTTCCTGTTACAGTCATCCCTCGCCACTTCACGCTTCAACTTTTGGGTCTTCACGGTCTTTTCGCGGTCTTTTCAAATACTATACTATATTTGAAAAAACCGGGATAGAGTGAAGCTACGAAAGTCAAAGCATGAAGTGGTGAGGGATGACTGTATATAAATAAAGAAGCCTACTTCGGGGAAATTCATTTATCGCAGTACAGTCTGGAAGTGATTAACTGCGATAAATGAGGGCCGACTGTATTATTAACATTTCCTGCCCAACACACACACTGTGGTTCATACACATTGGAGGTCAGTATTCCCCTTATTTCTGATATTTGCTGCCTCTAAACCTTCTCTTCTTGGAATGGCCTTCTCCATTGTCTGTATGGCAGGCTCCCTAATTCTGAGAACTACTTGACAGTCTGGAAGGAAATGGTTCTCAGAATTAAGGCCAACGTAGCAATTTCCTTCATTTACTCCACTCTTTGAAAGTAGTCAAGAATGCAGAATGATACTTCAGCTGATCTGTAGATTAATTAATTAATTCAACCAACACTGAGTATCTGGCATGTGTCAGGCATTGTTCAGGTTCTAGGGTTGTGATAGTAAATAAAGACCTTGTCCTCACGGAGCACCATATGTGTAGGTATGTGTGTACACACACACACACACACACACACACACACACACACACACAGTGGATACAGACAATTGAGGTGTTTTCATAAGTACTCTGGTTTACTTGTTTCATAATCTCTCAGGACAGTCTTATCTATATTCATAATATGGTTAGGAAATAGTGGTTTATACCTACATTGAGCTCACTTCTATATATCTATTTTTACTTTTTTGTTGGTTTTTTTTTTCAATTTTATTTTGGTTACAGATGTTTCTCCTTTTTTACCCCATTGGCACCCTCCTCCCCATCCCGCTCGCCCCGTCCCCGGCTTTGTTGTCCATGTCCATTGGTTATGCATACATGCGTATAAGTTCTGTGGTTTATCTCTTCCTACCCCCCACTACCCCCTCTTTTGAGGGTTGTCAGTCTGTACCCTACTTCCGTGTTTCTGGATCTACCCTATTCCTCAGACTGTTATATTCACTATATTTCATATATAAGTGAGATCATGTGGTATTTGTCTTTTTCTGCTTGGCTTGTTTCACTTAGGATAATACTTCGCAGGTTTCTTCATGTCGTCTCAAAGGATAAGAGATCTTTCTTTCTTACAGCTGCATAGTACTCCTCTGTGTATATGTACCACAGCCTTTTTAGCCATTCGTCTATTGATGGACACTTGGGCTGTTTCCAGATCTTAGCTATTATAAATAGTGCTGCTATGAACATGGGGGTACATATATTCTTCCTAATTAGTGTTTCAGGCTTCTTAGGGTATATTCCTAGAAGTGGGATCACTGGGTCAAATGGGAGTTCAATTCTCAATTTTTTGAGGTAACACCATATTTTCCATACTGGCTGCACCAGTCTGCATTCCCACCAGGAGTGTACTAGAGTCCCCTTTTCTTCACACCCTCGCCAACACTTGTTGCTTGATGATTTGTTGATGGCAGCCATTCTGACAGGTGTGAGGTGATACCTCATTGTTGTTTTAATTTGCATCTCTCTGATGATTAGTGATGTTGAGCATTTCTTCATATGTTGATTT